GGGGGGAGGGAAGAGGCGCGGGGGGGGGGGGGGGGGGGGGGGGGGGGGGGGGGGGGGGGGGGGGGGGGGGGGGGGGGGGGGGGGGGGGGGGGGTCAGTCCCAAAATCGGAGAAAGTCTCAAAAATTTTTCTCTTATCACTTATGCACACTTTCAGAAGCACACAAACTTTGCGATTTTCTTTGAACTGCTTTGAATATCCTTTATTAGTCAATAGACAATAAGTTATAATAAAAAGATGATTTTTTTATTTTACCTTTTATTCAATTTTTAATATAGTTAATTGTTTACATCAAATAAACATTGAAAACAATCTTTATACAAAATTTAATGATAAGCAGTTTAAATACGACGTCCAGACTTGTTCTTGAGCCACTTTTCAATAAGTTCTTCATCTGTTAATTTGTCGAGGAGATCCGTTTCAACAGAACACAATAATAATGCTTGTAAACGACAATCCTTCATCTTTGATCTTAATCTGTTTTTAATAATTTTTAGCTTACTGAAGCCTCGCTCATTATTTGCAACGCTTACTGGTAGTGTTAAAAGAAAACTATAAGCTTGATATACACGTGGAATAACTATTTTTCGCTCAACAATAAATGCTGCAGCTTGTGATACAGTATCACAATGTTTATTTATATCAACTGCAAATAGTTGTATTTCTTTGAAGAATAGTTCTGGATTGTCAATACTTACCATTTCACTAATAATGTTTGCATCGTCTTGTGTAAGATCTAAAATATATTTTGGTGATAACTTTCCTATCGATTTCAAATTATCATTCATTGACTTAAGTATAACACGGTATTGAACAATTAGGTAGTCGAGTATTTCTCGAAAATTTTTAACGTAATAATCATGTCTAGAAAACAAAGAACAAATAAGAGAAACACACAGTAGCTATATGCGACAGATGTCAAAGATCCATGTTCTCGGCTCTTGCACCTCAGAGATAATAGAATAGTAACTTTAAGTAAAGAAAAAATACCTGGAGAAGACATGTGTTGTTTGTGGATTTTCATCGATTCGTCTTGGTGGTCGTCGTCCTCGATGCTTGATGCTGAACTCTTCATCTGGATCTATATCGATTTTTTTTGCAAAATTTTCACTAACACTCAAAATACGACGTAAATTATCATCATCATTTCGTTCTAAATCTAATAATTGTATTGTTTTTTCTAAAGTTTCAGCTGCTGTTGCAAGATCTAATTTTTCTTTTTGAAATTCACAAGTCAAAGCATTTGTTGTTGCCATCAAATTTTTCATAAAAATAAAATATGTAATAAAGTTAAATGTTTTCATACTTTTTGTTATTGACCATGATTCTCTTCGTGTGTCACTATCAAATTGTTCAGTGCCATTTGTAATATAAAGTAACGCTTCTAATATTTCATCATAAGATTCATAAATTGCCTTAAATGACTCGTACTTTGCATTCCAACGAGTGGTGGAAGTTGTTTTCGGTGTTAAGGCAAATGGATTACTTGTATATTTTTCATTCAAAATATTATATCTGAAAGCATAAAATGTTGGTTTTAACATCTGGCATCAACTGAATGCGACAATAAGACTCACCTTTTAGTACTACATGTAAAAAAATTATAAATTACCTGTAATAAATCAACAACAGATTTAAGATCTAAACTTGCCTCGCAGGCTATTTTTAATGACGTATTTGAACGGTGCGCCGAGCACGGTACATATTTTATGTCATGTCCTATTTTTTTTGTCATTTGAGCTTGTACGCCTTGAAAACACCCACTCATATTTCTCGCACAGTCATATGATTGTGAAATTAAATGAGTTCGATCTAAACCACTCTCATCGATAACACCCACAATATGATCAGAAAGAGCATCGCCTAGAAGTGAAAAAGATAATCAAAATTAAACAACTCATTTATCTATGGTTGATGTAAAATGATTGAAATCAAGTTTACAAGGTCCACAAGTAGTAGTGGAATAACTTTTCTTTGAGAAAAGTTAGCGAGAATCAGTTTTAGTCAATTGATATCATCAAAATGGAAGTAAAATTAAATTAAAACTAATTGGGAGTGATACACACAGCTTGGATCTGGATGAACTTTATTTTTTCTTATCATGGGTCGACAACAACATTGCCTATATCAGATAGTAAACAACATCAGAAACTGCTGTTCATACATGCATGCAAAGGTCCTCTCTTTGTTTTTTCTTTCATTTTTTAATAGTGAAACAAAAGGAAAAAACTATTATTTCTTCTCGTAGTAATATCGTTTTATCATCCTGCTGTACTATTCAACAAGCAAAGGACAAATAATGAAAGAAGAAAGAATTTTGAGTATATGTATACCAATTTTGTTACGTTACTCATTGTCTGATAAAGACAGCACCATTGTCGAAGCGACAGCTCATAAAAGGAAATAAATATTGTCAAGGTACATTATATTGATTATTGATCAATTCAATATATACTTTCACCTTCTATTTAACCGAAGTAAAATCAGTTACGCTGGTTTCAATCGCAAAGAACTTCAGTTGAATCTGACTTCTATTTCGGTCAAGCTGATCTATGAAAATGAAAAGTTATTTCGAATGACTGTACTCGAAGAAAGTTGATTGTAATGCAAGTTGCAGTTCATGAAAAATGGATTTCAATAACTTTTTTCATAAGGTAACTTACCAGTTTTTGCAATTGTTTCTTTTATCGAAATTAATCTTTCTTTTGGTATTAGATTTTCATCAACATATCTAATAAATATACTAAACATATCTTGTCTATTGGAATCAGGTGTTGAATCAGCCATTAGCGAATAATAACGAGCTGATTTAATTTCCTTTAAAATCTTATCGAGCATTATTTCACCAATCAATTGAATAAATTCATTTTGTGAATCTTTTGACATGTATGTCACCTAAACCATGGCACATGAAAAAATATAAGAAGAAATAATTTTACCACTAATCATACTTTTTGTATGGGGCTTCTAGTTTCCTCTAGTTCCAAGTTGCTCTCTCGCCTAAAGGTCCCATTTAATAATGAAAGGAAGAGACAAAAGACTATTGATTCTTTGGGCAGGACAATTATAAGTTTATCTAGTGTAAGCAAGAAGATTTTCATCAAAGTATGCCTCAATAAAATTTTACAACAGAGGCAGCAGTTACATACCTTATATGATCTATTTTGAGCATCAGATAGCCAGTGTTGAATAAATGGATTATATTTAGCCAACAGATTAACCAATTGAAAATAATTACCATCTTCGTCTGTATGACCTCTAAATGCTAAATCTTGTCTTGATAGATAACGTGCACAGTCAATCAGCACTTTAACAGCAGCTCGATTAGATTTAGCTATCTGAATTTTCAATTGTTCACGTTGTTGTATATTTGCATCCAATATGTAATCTATATTATTTCTTCGATTTTTAAAATTCAAGTAACGCTTTAATGATAAAAAATGTGAATCACTTTTAAAATGAGTTTCTAATTTGCCACTTTTGTTTTTGCCCCGACTACCTATGAAATGAGAAGGTTTATAAATTTAACACAACAACATCTTCCGACAAATAAAATAAAATCCTTATTGTTACCCTTCATTTTGTCCCATTGTTTAACTCCTGTTGTTGTCCATGCATCTTCCTCCTGCCCGTTACCTGGTCCACCGCCAAATAATCGACAACAAAAACAATATGCACTGTTCGTTACTGGACTGTATTCAATAAGTGGATATTCTTGATACCATTTCTTGGTAAAATGACACGTGTCCTTTTCTTTTTTAATATTTCATTATCTGGAAATTTTGCTAGCAGTGGTTGATAAGGTCCTTCGTTAACTAAATAACGAAGTTCTATTTTACTAAACTTGTTCTTTGTCGATGGATCACGACATGTAACTAATTCAGATGATTGGATATCATTATCTGTTGTTAAGCATGATGGCATTTCTTCTAATGTACGGTTGCATTCGGTTATCAAGTCTGTTACTAATTCTTGTATTGTTTTTAAATATGAACCAACTTCAATAATGAAACATTTATCACTAAGAGCTGGGTCAACAGACAAATCAACAAATTGTGAACCTTGATTTGTTTGATGCATAAGATGTTTGATGGCACCACATATTTTATTTTTTCTTTGAAGCATTCCAACTTCTTCTTCAATGGTGGTGAAGGATAATTGAACTGGTTCATTAATAACGGAACAAGTAGAATTAACAGTCACAACACTATCTGTAATATAAGAACAATTATCACTCATATCAGTTACTAATTGATCACGACGACGTTTAGATGGTGATGGACCAAATAATGATTCTTCATGGTCTAGTTGTTGTTGTTTTTGTTGTTCTGATTGTTGCTGTTCTGATTATTGTTGTTCTGGTTGTTGTTGTTCTGGTTGTTGTTGTTCTGATTGTTGTTGTTGTTCTGGTTGTTGTTGTTCTGATTGTTGTTGTTGTTCTGATTGTTGTTGATTTTGTAATATTCTTGATTTCAAAGGATTCTTGTTATTTTCAATATTTTCCTTCAGCTTCTCAAATTGTCTTTTGTACTTTTCTTCTGTATTAACACTATTATGATAACGTTCACAATGACGTTTAAAATTTTTCACCATAATTTGCCCGAAACACAACGGGCACTTGCCCGTTAAGTCACTAGACATAGTTATTGGACTACGAATCTATTATCAACTATTCTGCTCACAATAATGATGCAGTATTATTTATACATCTACTAACTTAGTGTTCTTTTTCTGTTACTTGATATGTAAATCAATTACGCCAATTATCAGTGTCATGTAGCATTCGTAAGCCAATTTAATCGTTGACATCCAAAGTGTGAAAAAATACATTTCAAATTTTTTGCTTTAGTATGATTTTTTCTATTTTTTCCTGCTTTTCTGATCAAGAGAAGCAAACCGTATCAAGGCATTGCCCTTCAACCTGATCTATTTTGTCAAAAGTTCGATTTTAGTGTACGAAATCGCCATTAAAATTTGATTTGGTTTTGGTCTCGGGTACGAATGTGACAATAATGTCTCGATTTTTTTCGAGTCTAAGTTAGACGCCATCGTTTACAAAACACTATTCTCCGAAATCGGAGAAAATGGTCTAGCAGTATTCTCCGAAATCGGAGAAAATGGTCTGGCAGTATTCTCCGAAATCGGAGAAAATGGTCTAGCAGTATTCTCCGAAATCGGAGAAAGCCTCAATGGAAAATTTTTGGAAACAGGGGGGGGGGGGTGACCCACCCATCCCCCCCCCGGTCGCGCCGCCCCTGAAAATAAGGTTCACAAGTGTTGTTTTTTTTGAACATTTCATTCCGAATTGTGTACATTGTTCGACATAACGAAATGCTGATTGATCAATACGAAGTAATTCAAAATAATAAATAATACAAGACGATAAATTTTGAAAGAAAAAAGAGCATGAATATGACGGTAATGAAGATTAGATTGCATTTTGTAAATATATGCATGGATATAGTCTTTTCTCTTGATTTCCAGGATATATCATAGCATTACATGATCACAGTGAACATGAAGAGTCAAATTCAAATGTCTTATATATTGCAACAGGAATAGAGGGGAACATAAAACAGTAAAGTATAAGATTGAATTTAAAATTCACAACGAGATCAATATAATTGAGGTAACATCTCAAGTATTCGACAGTGATCGTGAAAGTTGAAATATCATACAAAATTATATTATTATCATGTCAATAGTTTTTGCCTTGTAGTTTTGTTCTATGTTTGTGTTTTCATATTTAATGTTCCACTCTATTTCTGCTGCAATTTACAACACATTTGAATATCATAGCATTGTTTTTCAAGGAAATAATCAAGTCTAGTCAGAGAAGGAAAATGTTAATATTTATGAAATTAACTATGCAGCCATGAAGACTCTTGCTATTTTATATAAACCAAATAAAGCAAGTCAATAATGAGTAACATAAGACATTATACACGCCTCAATAAATTATATCACCATCCATTTCAAATACACTAGATATTGATTCTTTCACGTATTGAAATTTGTTGAATCGTTGCTTGATGTAGAATCTCAAGACTCTCGGGCGTCTTCGCCGATGAATAATAACAGAATATGTAAATAACATGTACATTATTTTACAATTATAATCATTGTTGATAATGAATTACAAACAGATTTCCATAGATGAGCCAACCCTTGAAGCTTTGGGGAAGTGTTTAGAAAAAAACTTATCCAAAATACTGTATTTAAAGTAACGATAGATTTACAGTGGTTTTGTTCGATGTATTTTCGGGATAAACAATACAGTTAAATTGATATTATTACATAAAAAAGTGCACAATAATATATAACAATGGAATACATAGAAGAGGGGATGAACAAAGGTGTTGCGGATTAATTAAAATTAGGAGACAGATTCACATTTTAGTCGTGACTAAGGAATAATTTAGAGAAAGAAGAAAAAAAAAGATTTTACTTTGCATAATTTTGACGAAGAAAATTATTTTTATATAAGTTTAAAATCTTTGGCAATACTTTTAACACTGAACGTGTTTATATCAGTTATTGTTGATCTGAGAAAATGTTTTTAACAAAAAACAATTATTATTCATATTTGTTTTTGTTGTTTTATTCGAATTTTTCATTCTGCATTACTGACTATTGTAATTTTCTTCCTTTGAATTAGCCACTGATTGTTTAATTTTAATGTTCTTATTATTAGCAGAATTTATTGTTGGTACTGGTGAATGTGGTCGTTTTCGTGATGAAGAATGATGAACTTTTGGTCGAGATGATGATGAATTCTTTTTCGCTTCAACACAGCTTTCATCGTTATTCGTTAGTTTCGAATTGGTATCTCTGATTTTCTATATGTACAGAAATTAAAATTAATTGAAAACTTCGGCGATTTTTCGAAAAATAAGCATGTTTTTGGCACAAAAATAAATAGAAAAGAAATCATTTATTAACAAGTATACGGATCAATATGTTTCGATCTCATGTTTTCAGATTGTTATTTACACAATTAACTAAATGAGTATTATTTGACTTATAAAATGTCTATATCAAGATAAAAGAGAAAATCAATGAACCATGATTTTTATATTTAAAGTACAGATGTGAAGGGTAATAGTATCCTGTAGGGATAGTTTTTTCCGTCCCGTTTTCTAACAGAATCCGAAATGATCATATAAAATTTAATGTTCTCGAAAATCATTTTGTTATATATATTTCTTTTTCAAATTTTGCTCTTGCAGACAAAAAATGTCGAAGCGAAGCCAGTGTTACATTGCTGAGAAATAGATTTTGACATTCATTTTATTTCAGTCCTGTTGAACAAATCGAGTTCTCAGTAGAAATCCGTTGTCGACTATAAAATGCACGAATAAAAGCTATCTCAGGAAAAGGAATCCGATTCTTCGTTCATATCAGAAAAACCGTTGAATTTCGCAAAATCGGTATGAATTGTGTCTGAAGTTGATGGCATCGCAGAACAGCATCTGCTCAGTTGAATTCGACTGAGAAAAACCTTCGGGATAACTGGTACTCGCAAAGGACACGGCGAACGTAGTCCTATTCTGAGTCTCCATGAACTTTGAGCAGAATTCGGTCGACGCTGATCGCATTGGATAGATTTCTATCGAACGATTTTGATCTAGAATCATTAAGACGACCACTACATCATAAACCTTACCAATTGTATTTTATGGATACTGTCACTACAGATTTTCGTAACAAAAATATGAAAAAGGAGGAAGAAAAAGCGCCTTCACATACCAGATGACATCGTAATGTAATTTCTGACAGTTTTATGGGAGTGGGAATCGACAAGAGTCGTTCCCGCAGGACACTACAGGATAAGATAAGGTAACGTAACCCTGCGTATTTTTAAATTAAACAAATGATTTCTATTCTTTATTTTCTATTATTTAGTAAATAGACGATGTACAAATATAACTATAATTTTTTACAATGTATTTATATATTTTTCCAATTATCGCTGAAAATTAAATTTCTCACTAAAAGATTTTCTGATAGGTAAAAATTATTGATAATTCAAATAGTATTAATTTTATACATTAAACAAATCGAATTCTCATTTAAACTACTTCAATCTGTTACTTATGCTCAGGCATAAATCGTTAATAAGCCTCTATTGATGACATCCATTAACACATGACTTATACAGTTCACTGTGGGCATGAGTATAATTCAATGTACTTGAGCTGAATCTAATAAATTTGTTCGTACCTTCAGAGAGAAAACTAATATTCATTAGACTCTGTTAGGAAATAGCTACACGTTGAATAGATTAATAATTCTAATGATTAAAAAATATATATATATGCCTACCCCACCAGCTGCTAAAATTTTTTGTCGAAATTCTGGATCAGGATTGTAAAACGTACAACGATATCGACGTACAGAACTTTCTTTTTGTCGATGTGGATGTCCTTCAACATTCGTATGTAAATCAAGATCATATTCAATACGAAATTTTTTTGGTTCTTTTCTTGTTTTAAAAAAAATATCAATTGGCTAAAAATTAAAAAAAAAATATTAATATAAAAGTCAAAGATTAAAAATAAAAAGTTTTACCAAATGAAAACCAGCATAACCAGTTTCTTTTATAGCAAATGGTGGTGATTTTAATTCTAAACAAAAATTCACAAATGAATTTATTTTTGTTAATAATAAATATGTTTTAACCTCGTCTATGATCGGGATATTCTGGATGAAGATAAAATATACAACGCTGAATAAGACAGTTTAAATCACCATGAACATCAGCAGAACGTAAATAAACTGTCCAATCATGTGTACGTGGTGGATTATGCGTTGTTGTTGGTTCTGATCGAATTATTGATATATGTCCAACTTCAAAATCAATTTCAACAATCTATTTACAAATTGATCGTTGAAATATGCATATAAACATTTATATACATATGTTATAGGAGAAATTAAAATCAACAGCAATTTAAAATTTCGCTAAGATCAACTTGAAGAAATGGAATATGAATCTAGGCCTGAGTCTGCGTGTGAGTGAAGCGAAGACTCGCATCCATACCTATACTCGCATTTCATAGTTTTAATTTGCTCAGGAGCAGATTAAGATTTTAATTTTTCTTTAGGGACATTGTGAATTGTCCAGATTTCAATTTCTCCTGAACCATGCATATATATATATACTAATAACAAACCTCGTCAGTATTATCACGATCGGCCATTTTCTACTTTTTATTGTTCCGAATCTGAAAGTAAATTGTGATAATATACAGCATTGACAATTGTGTATAGGTAAAAGGTAAGAATAGGAAGAAAAATAAAAGAAAGAAAAAATGCCGAAGTATAAGCATATGGTCCCATCCATGTAATGAAGCATAAATAATCGACAACCAATGATTTTTTCTTAAATTACTGTTTTATGTCGACATAAATAATTAATTGATTTTATTTTAGTTTTTTGTCTTAAAATTATAAAGTAAGCTACATCATATTATTTGTAACCAATAGTTTATTTAATTTAGTTGATCTCTGTGGACATCTTGTATCATTTTGATATTATGTTTGTGACATGAAACAGAATTTGAAAAAACATCTGACTACTGTATCGAATTGGAGCGAAAAGAGATTTGTTGGAGTTAGACTTATCTTGAAGTATTTTTTCCAGCAAACTTTCGATTAAATTTTCGTGTAATTTGTTAATTACTCGCAATTTCTTTTGAGTCAAGCTTGGGATCTAGAAGATGGTCGCGGTATCGTGATCTATTTTGTGAAACACGATCTAAAAGGAGTATTAAGGTATATAATGTAGAAACTTGTACGAACTTCCCACCCGTGTTACAGACTACGATAGACGTTGTTGATATATGATCAAATATCGTACATTAGTAACATTTCTTTACAATATATAAACTACTTCCTTACTGCATTTCTGGAGGATTAAGTAAAAGAATGATGATGCAATGTATCTGGAAAAGATCATACGATAAAAAAAAGTTGCAACATGCCTCATTGTGAAAGATTGTTTGCGCATGTCTCAGATTTTTTCGAGCATTATTCTTTCTCCAACTTCTGCCAATGTTTTCTTTCATCATATTGCCGCAAAAACAAGAGTAAAATCAAACAAAAGGACCGTGTTTCATAAACAAAAATTATTGTCCAATCAGGTGAGTAATATGAGTCACAATCGAACGTTTGTTTTTATTAACAAGAGTAAAGTAAAATAAGACGACAAAACACAAGTCAAAACATATTTTGTTGATTCTATGAATTATGAACGACTATATCTTGTGTCCTTCTTTTGTTTCTATGAACAAGCGACGAGCGCGATCCATGATGTCGGATTAAAATCTAAAACACGATCGATCTTACACGTGTGTAGTTTCAGTGAAAATACCGAAAAGTTGACAATGATTTACCGACAGTCAGTGTACTATGACATTGACTACACAGGCTGTACGTATCAGCATACATTGGAGCAAGGGCAATCTCTGGCACATCGACGCTCAGTCAATGCTGAGCACATAAATATTAGTGCTCATTAGAACACTGACTCGGTCAAAGTATGGGCATTTTGTTCTTTTATTCATATTTATTAACGAAAACTAATTAGTTAGATGAACGTATTTACTCATTCCCCCAAAATAACCTAGATTTAGACAACCTACAATTTCGAATAGTAATGCAAAATTCACAGAAATGTATCATTTTGTATTGATAGTTTTAGTCCCTACCTATGAATCACCACATAAGAGTACGTAAGACTTGTGTTTCACTATTATAGTGTTTTTTTTAAGTGCAAGGATCAACAAGTAGTGTAGTATGTGCCGAAAAAATTGATTCCATCTTCTCCAACTTGCTCAAATGACCGCCACAAACATACCAACGCTCTTTTAACCTACTGGCAGACTGTGGCAGAGATTCCAATATGCTTTTAGCTGCCTAGCGAGTTTTTCCAAGAGAAAAAATCGAAAATTCTGTACTATACCGCACTTCAAAAGTATGCCGAAGCTATCTTTTATAACTTCTTAGCGATATCAAGTCTAGTAGCGACATGTGTTGCGAGCATATTAGTTTGAGTTCACTTTATATAAATCTGGCTGACACTAAAAATCAAATACTTTATTGTATTTCAAGATTTGAGCATCAGTGAAGCACAATGAAGTCGTTGGTCTTCAATGTCAGACAGATTTATACAACATAAACTCAAAATAATATGTTCGCGACTCATATCGATACTAGACTGACTTGAAATAGTTGAGAAGTTCTGGGGGATATATTTGGCATACCCTTGACGTACGGTGAAATACGGAGTTTTCGCTTTTTCTCTATTGGGTTCTCGACAATAGATAAAGTAGCTCCATGCTGTTTAACATTTCAATCCTATAGAGATTGCACTGATAGCTATTTTTTCACTATCTATTTCAATAATTTTTCTCTCGTTTAGGATTTCTCGATAAACATAAAATTTCATGGGACTACCAATTCTATATTAGCTTTGCACACTAATGAATTGTTTATCAGACATATATAGAAATTCTGAATCAGTCGTAGATTTACTTGCTTGCGTTTTATATCTCAACGAAAGATATTGTATAAATAATAAGAAATGAAAATAAATATGCAATAAGTTAAGATGACGAACAATGATTCCATTGTTTTTCGATAATATAACTTGAGATCGAATTAACTTGATAAAATATATTAAGCATATTTTGATGAATATTCACTTAATAGAAATATTCTAATGCATGTTCTCTTATGGAAATAGTTAATGATATCAGTAAAACTGGTTCGATATGCAAAAAATGTCAATATGATCAATTTAAAAGAAAACATGCAAAGCTCGAAAAAATCTGTACCAGTCGTTTGCCGTTACTCGTCGCAACATTGATACGGTCTACCATGCACAATAAAGAATAATGCGATGATCGATATACAGCACGTCATATGTTTATCATCGTACACGAATCTATGTGACTTTACGAACAATAATAGCTTTTAATAAAATATGAAAAGTATTTATATCTGATGAATCAGGAGGAATAAAAAGATTCTAGTACTTTCTTCTCTTTTTTTCATAATGCATAATACGATGTATCGAATGAGACTATTGAAAAAGTTGACACCGAGTGCATTCAATTTTACTGATATCTTTGTGGATTATTTAATCGTCTATCCATGAAAGGGCCTAAAGGAACATAGTTGCTAATAACAAGTAATTTTTTCACCAAGAAAGAAAGCAATTAAAGCAAAGCACAAATATACAGCAACATAAAACAATGAGCACAGATAATATGAGTCATGAGCGATGATGTGCAGAACCGAATCACCTTGGTATGCGAGCAGAATGCATAAATCATAGACGCACAAGTAGCTGAAAACATGTAGAACAGAACAGAATTATACAAACGTAGTGCTGTGGGAGGAAAGACCCGAACTTAGTATTACTTCTCGAGAAATAAACGTATTGCCCTTCTCTTTTGGTGCATTCAATTTCACTTTTCAATTACGCAAGCGAAAGCATAAGAAAATGGTCAGAAGCAAAGCGAAAGAGTGAAAGAAAATGATAAAAGACCACAGGATAGAAAATAAAAAAGAAAGACCCAACATGTACTTGATAAAGATAGTGAAAGAATAATTATACATTTGCTAGCAGAATGTGATGTTGAATAGGTTTAGCTATAAGAAAAAAAGTCTAAGAAATGATTATGCTGTTATGCTTTTATCCAATGAAAACTTTCTGTGAATCCATGTATTGTATTTGATAGATTTCAAAGTTTTCTAATGGAAATTGTAATCAATATCGGTGTATCAGTGTTCTACCGATATTCATGTGCTTAATGTTGACTGAGTGTAGGTGTGCCAGTAACTGTAAGTGTTACAGTATACGCCGGTACATTTATTCAGTGTAGTAAGTGTATTAGTGATCCATTAGTGAGCAGTTTACTGAAACTACACATTGTTAATAGAGCTACTTATATGGTGAATGAGAGGATTCACAAGTATATGTTTGAATTTTCGAATTACTACCTGCGGTTAGACCTTTTACGGATTGTTCTATTCGACCTGAAGGACTCTAATTGAAGGAAAAATATATGAAAACAATCGGAATGCAAAATATATTGATCAGTTAGTTTGAAGAATCAAACAACAGACAAAAAGAACTTGATCAAGAAATGTTGCAAGCCATAGTGAAGGATGTTTAGAAGAAACTTCGAGCTATATGGCAAGAACGACTGTATTTAGTTCTATATATTCAGTTTTTAGTAGTACTTGTTATGCTCTTTCTAATAAAAAAGATTAGCTGTTTATTACCTTAAATGATCTATGCAGATCAACAATTTTCCAAAGACTTTTGAATGACTTATTAGTTTTATTTGTATTTTAACAAATGAAAAGAAAATAGAAAACAATTCTTATTGCGATCTACGAAAAGCCATTGTAATTTCTTCAAAAGTACGTCTTTTCGTTTCAGGCATATATTTCCATAGAAATAAAAAAGCAAATGTAGTAAATATAGCAAATGGAATAAATGAATAATTAGATATTTTATCATTTTCCTAAATAGAAAATAAATGTAAAAAAAAAACAGATAGTAAAGACAAAAAGAAACAAATTTTATTTACTGCTAATAGTGGAAATAGAAGGCCAACAGCAAAATTTGACATCCAATTAGTTACTACGGCAACACTTGTAGCTGCTGGACGAGCACCTTGTGTAAAGATTTCTGGAAGAATAACCCATGGAACAGAACCAGGTCCAATAGCAAAGAATATAACAAATGTATAAACAAATGCAATGGAAAGAAATTTCAACCACGGTGCATAATGCTAATAAAAAGAAAATAATTATACGAGAATAGTCTTTTCGAATAGATATACCGTTAAAATAAAAGTAATCGTAAGTAAAAGACTACATAACCATGTACCAAAAAGACCAAAAAGATGAAGTGTTCGTCGACCAGCTCGATCCATCAGTGTACCAGATACTAAAGTAATCAATACAATGATAACACCAACACCAATTGTTGCATATGGACCAACACTACCAAGATTTGCATGTTTAAATAAAGCAGTTGAATAGTACATAATAGCATTTATACCACAAAAACGCATGGAAAAATGAACAACAATAGCTACAGCAATAGGTAATCTAAAGATTAAACAAAGCGATATTATTTATATTTCAGAAAACAGAAATCTATACCGAAATACTTGTTGAG